CGTTCCTTTCTTGCTCTTCTCCTGTCCTCACTTACAATATATTAACACACACATGTGTGTGTGCTCGCACACGTGTCCCCCCATGCTAAGAACACTGCACTCCCTAAGATGCTGTTGTCTTAAATTTGAGCCAGTGTGTCCGAGGCACTTTGTTGGTATCATGTGGCTCACGGCCTGGCTAGCCCATGCTGTGTGTTCAGGTCATGGCTGCCGTGAAGTCACCCGGTACAACACTGGTGAGCGCAGCCAGGAACATCTTGGGTTCACTTTGCACTTGGCTGTGGTTAATGTTTGACTGTTGTCCATTCAGAAACCTTTCATTGTTGCTACATTTTCTGATCCCAACATTCAGTTACATGATCCCTAACATGGGGTTGTGACCCACAGTTTAAGGAATTGCCTGTTACTGTTTCATTTAGAAATATCAACTGAAAAACTGCGTGGACCCTTGTAGAGACTGAGAGCAGGAGTTCCCAGGGGCTGATGGGGAAGGGAAGAAAGAGGGCTGGGTTAAGGGACTTTAAGTGAGACAAGCAGGGGTCTCAGTGCTAGAGCACTTTTCTAATACTTGAGATCTTGGGTAGATCCCGAACACTCAGGAGAAAGAAATTCTGGTGATCTTCTATTTCCTAAGCAAAGGCTACAGATGAAAATAGAGTCTTGTCATTTGCTCAACCATGTTTGTAGCAGCTTGATTTGTAATAGCCAGAAGCTGGAAACAACCCAGATGTCCCTCAGTTGAGGAATGGATACAGCAATTGTGGTACTTTTACACAATGGAATACTACTCAGCAATTAAAAACAAGGAAATCATGAATTGTGCAGGCAAATGGTGGAATCTAGAAAAGATCATCCTGAATGAGGAATCCCAGGAGCAGAAAGACACACACGGTACATACTCACAAGTGGGTACTAGACATATAAGATAGAATAAACATACTAAAATTTGTACACCTAAAGAAGATAAGCAAGAAAGAGGACCCTGAGTAAGATGATCAATCCTCTCCTAGAAAGACAAAGGGGATGGACATTGGAAGAAGGAGAAAACAGGAAACAGGACAGGAGCCTACCACAGAGGGCCTCTGAAAGACTCTATCCAGCAGTGTATCAAAGCAGATGCTGAGACTCATAAACAAATCTTTGGACAGAGTGCAGGGAACCATATGAAAGAAGGGGGAGTTAGTATGACCTAGAGGGGACAGGAGCTCCACAAAGACCAAATATATCAGGGCACAGGGGTCTTCTATGAGACTGTTTCTTCAACCAAGGACCATGCATGGATAGAACCTAAAACCCCTGCTTGGATGTAGCCCATGGTAGCTCAGTATCCAAGTGGGTTCCCTAGTAAGGGGGACAAAGACTATTTCTGACATGAACTCAATGACTGGCTCATTGAGCTTCCCCTCCTCCCCAAGGGAGGAGCAGCCTTGCTAGGCCACAGATAAGGACATTGCAGCCAGTCCTGAAGATACCTGATAGGCCAGGGTCAGATGGAAGGGAAGGGAATAGACCACACCTATCAGTGGAATTGGAAGGGGGCAGGGAGGAGATGAGGGAGACAGGGAGGGTGGGATTGGGAGGGAAAGAGGGAGGGGGCTATGACTGGGATAAAAGTGAATGACCTGTGATTAAAATAAAAAATAAAAAAAAATAAAAAAAAGAAAAAAAAAGAAAATAGAGTCTTGTACATTTCAAGTAGCTGTAAGGAAATAATAAATATTTGAGGGATAGATACTCAATATGACAATTTAAATATACAATATATACAACATGCTGCATGTTTTTATGCTAACTCACAAATATGTATGTTTTAAAATTTTAATTCATCTATATTTTGACACTGACAGGTTTTTAAATTAATGTTAGTGATATTATGAATAATTTTCCATTAGTGAAATGAGTGCTGTGCAGATGAGATAGCTGGCTGGACAGCCTGTTTGCATTCTCCTCACACTCTGTGCAGCAGTGAGTCTGTGTAGGAGAGACTCAAGAAAAGCAGGAAATTGGAACTGAAAGCACTTTCACCCTGTAGAAAGAATGCTGCATTAGGTAGGCAGTGATTTCATTGTTCATTGTGTTTAGATCAGTGACTGTCAGACAGTCTTATTCCATATTTGTTTGTTGAATGGATGAGTGTAAACTACCCAGTCAGTTGAAATGCTAGAAAAAGATATCAGCATGCTGTTATTGTTATTGATTTCTGTTTTTTGGGGATTTTTTTGTCCTTTTTGTTCTAATCAAATATTGGACTGAGTTACAGAATTCTTGATTTCTATTTTTATGATCACATTGATGTTATGCATTATTAAATATTTCTTATAATTTATTTTTGATATTCCTTATAAATTATTTTATGATATTCCTTATAATTCATTTTAGTAATTTATTTATTATAAATTATTTTATGTTTTATTTTTATAAATAATTTTATATAACAATTATTATTCTTTAGAAATATTCCTTTTAATTTCTTATAATTCATATATGTATCTGTAGCCATAAGATGCCCCCAAATTTAATGCTTTAAAAATATTTGTTTAGTTCCCTATGTGTGTGTGCATGTGTTTGTGTGTGTGTGTGTGTGTATGTGTGTGTGTGTGTGCATGTGTTTGTGTGTGTGTATGTGTGTGTGCGTGTGCATGTGTTTGTGTGTGTGTGTATGTGTGTGTGCGTGTGCATGTGTTTGTGTGTGTGTGTATGTGTGTGTGCGTGTGCATGTGTGTGTGTGTATATGTGTGTGCGTGTGCATGTGTGTGTGCGTGTGTATGTGTGTGTGCGTGTGCATGTGTGTGCGCGTGTGAATGCGCATGCCATAGCACACTTGTAGCAGTCAGAGGACAATTTGGGAGAGTTAGTTCTCTCTTTCTACCATATGGTTCTGAGGATTGGATTCAAGAAGTCAGGCTTGGGAATAAAAGCCTCTGAGCCACTTTACTGGCCCTACATTAAAAATGTATATATTTATTTTTCACTCACTTTACATCTTGGTCATAGCCCTTCCCCTCCCAGTCCTAGGCTCCCTTCCTTCCTCTCCCCCCTCTCTCTCATTCCACAGAAAAGGGACTTTTATCAAACCAATATCAGTATTCTCTAAGAAAACTGAGTTTATTACCCTCCCCCATCAAGTCAATCAGCAACACTATCTGGCTGGGCAATACTTACAAGTGTATTTAGGAAGTGATGTGGGGTCTCACTATGCTGTCAAGGATGGACTCAAATTAGAAGCTACTCCTACCTGCCCCTCCTGGGACTGCAGGTCTCTGTCACCACACCTGGCTAGGAGTGTGCTTGCTCTTCCTCTCCCTGTTTCTCCTAGCAGTTAAAGGAAGCCAGCTCTGTACTTCACTGTCTGTGGTGGGCACGAGGCAGGACGTGAAGGACAAAAGTCTGCAGAAGCTTTCAGTGCTTGGAGACAGAACTAAAGAAAGGGGAAGAACACTGTGAGGCGCAGACAGATGTTCAACAGCTGTCTCTGCATGGGATGCGAGGGGGAGGAGAACATTGAAACTTCAGATTCCCATCAGTTGTTGGTTCCTACCCCACCGCGTGAGTGACAGCAGCCTTCTAAGGTACCAATCAGCTGCTTGCAAAATTCCTGCTTAGCATCCTGTCCTCTTGAGGTGGCTTGAATCCAGAATACCAGAAAGAGTGTTTTTATCGCTCACATCCCCCGTCTGCCCTCCCCAGAGTAGTTAAAAAGGCTGTAGGATAGGGAAGATGAAGGAGTAGTTGCTTGAGATATGTAGGTTCAGGGACACAGGGAACTTCTCAGATTGGGTCTCAGGGATTTTGAGCATCACTGAAGGCATGAGAGGTGAGCCACCTATGATGTGATGTTAACTAGTGTGTACTGAAGGCCCAGACCTAGTTTGCTGTGTCCTGCTCTTCATAACTTTATACCCCACCACAGCAGCCTATACTCTATTACTGCTGTGGACTTTAAAGTAGACCCCACTTCAAAGAATAGGGGTAATCCCAGAGCAGGGAGGGGTGTGGCCTCCCTTCTTGATGGATGAAGTGAAAGTTCCATGGCAGATGTTAGCTTGTACCTCTAGAATCTTCTCTGCATGTTGGAACTAAAGTCACCCCACTATCGCAAGGTGTTTTATTGCGTATGTCTTCATCTGAAAAATTTACAATCATATTGTTGTATATTGAGAGACTTACAAAGAAGTCACTTACTTAGGTTGTTCTTTTTAAAAGATGTGAGTTTCTTGCAATTTTAAAGGCGATTTAAAAATAATAAAACACCCCTAAGATACTGGTTTCCATTCAATAAATCTTGGGAAAGGTTTGTGTAGTTTTCTGCTTTTTTTTCGTTCAGTGTGTGTGTGTGTGTGTGTGTGTGTGTGTGCATCTGTGAACACTAAAAAGTCATTGTAATGATGATCAAACCTGTTTTTAAATTGAATGCATTTTTGTCTTCCCACTTAGTTCTGTCTCTCTCTCTCACTCTGTACGTGTGCGTGTGTGCTGAATATTTGTACTCTCAGGTGGGCACACCTGTGTGGGCACCACATATGTACACGTGGAGGCCAAACACATTGCTACTTTTCCTCTACTGATTTCCACCTTCTCTGTGTATGGACAAAGGCTCTCACTGAGCTTGCAGCTCTCCATTTTAGCCAGTGGCTGTCTAACAAGCCCTGGAGTCTGCTTGATGCTGCCACCCCTTGACCCTTCCACCCCTTCAGCGCTGCGGTAACAGTCACACGTTGCCATGTTCGGCTCTCTTGAGGTTACCAGGAATCTGGGCCCAGTGCCTCATGTTTGTGTATCAGGCGCTTTACCTACTGGGACTTCTTAGCCTGTTTAACCTAGTTGTATTTATTTGTAGGCATAAGGTTATTGTGCAATCAAATGCTGATTTCTGTACCCTCGAATATCTGGTTGCAAACCTTGTTCTGAACTCTCCTTTCTCAGTGTTGTGTAACTGCTGCTCCCCTATTGTCCTTTGATATGCCAATAAAGCAGTTCATAGCCCGCTGAGCAGGGGAAGGAATAGGGCTGGACTTCCTGCCAGCCAGGGGAGGCAGAGTTAGAAGATGAAGTAGGGGATTCAGCCACCAGAGAGGTACAAGAGACGTCAGGACAGAGGAGCTGGAGGAGAAAAGCTGCAAAGTGCAAGTATCTCTGGGATGTGCCTGAGAGGAAACCAGATTAGCTTAGAGGGGTAAGAACATAGTAATAACGGCTTCATCATTGTGCTGTAAAGGTTATTAAAATGCTATAATGGAGTCTCAATTATTTGTGTGATAGCTGGGCTAAGAGAGAAACTGAGAAACAAACACAATTTTATAAAAATAACTGTAACTATAATAATAATAATTATTATTATTAGTGGTGCACACACATTATGCCCACATGTGCAGGCCAGATCACAACTCTGGGGAGCTGATTCTCTCCTTCCGCCTTTACGTGTGTACTGGGGATAGAACTCAGGTCATAATGTTTATGTGGCAAGCACCTTCCTTGGCTGAGCTATCACACTGGGCTCCATTTAATTCTTTAACAGAGCATTTCCCACCTTTAAATATTTCCACAGAATAACCAGGGAAAATGCAGCCTTCAAGGCTACAATGAATGAGTGCTCTTTTTTAGCTCCTTGTCGTGAGCCACAGCACAGACATGGAAGTCAACCTCAGCTTCTCCCAGTAAGACAGGAACAGGGCAGCCTGCTGCGTGGGCGATGCTCATTTCTAGGGAACCTAAGGAGAGTGCTTGCTAGGGTGGCTTAGAACTTAAAGTGGACATTAAAGGTGGTCAAAGTGGCTTCTGAGCCAGTTTTCAGGTCATTCTTCCCTCCCCAATTCCTTCCTCCTTGTTGAGATTGCTTAAAAGAGAGGAGACAAGCTAGCCATGACTTTCTCACCAACACCTGTGTGGTATTCTCTCTCTCTCTCTCTCTCTCTCTCTCACACACACACACACACACACACACACACACACCATACAGTCCACTTGTCTGCTTGGCATGCTGACATTCTCTATACTTCACACATTTTAGTCATTGTTACTATTCTCCAAATTAATTTAAAAATGTGTTTATTATTGTGGTGTGTGTATGTGTGTGTTTGAATGTGTATGTGTGTATATGTGTGTGTGTGTTGTCAATAGACAACTTTAGGGAGTTGGTTCTGTCCTTCCTGCAGAGACTGAACTCAGGCTATCAGGCTTATCCTACAAGTGAATTTACTTGCCGAGCCTTTCCTCAGGCCACATTTAAAATGCCAAACCACAGAGAATATTAGAATGCAATCTGTAGTTTTGCTTTATCGAGTTTGTATGAGGCAGGAGAGCAGCAATATGACTGCAGTGAAGAAGAGACAAAGCTTACGCACACTGCAGTCATGGAGGAGATAAAGGTAGCAACTCAGTCCGCTTCTCTCTCAGAGCTCCACCAGGGCCGTTAGGTTGCTGTGGTTTGCAGGTGTCTGCTTAAGGGATTGGATGTTTAAATTCCTAGGAATGAGTATAATTCTGGTAATAAGTTAAAACATTTATGTATATTGACTGCAGAAGAAGCAATACAATTGCACTGATTTATTTGATAAAATCTTATTTTTTCAAAGTTTAAAAACTATATTGCACATTTAGGATCTATTAATAAAACAGGTTGTGTTTCCTTTAACATAAAGTGAGTACTCCTGCTTTCTTTCTATTGACATAATAAGTACAGACCATTGGTTTAAACAAATAAGTAAAATGTGTGTGTGTGTGTGTGTGTGTGTGTGTGTGACACACAGAGAGAAAGAGAGACAGAGAGACAGAGAGACAGAGGTGGCTATTCATATTAGGGTCTCCATGAATCATTGGGCCAAAATTTTCAGGACTATGTGATTTAAATTTATCTCTAAATCACGAAATGATTTAAATTTATCTCAAGTGGAATGGCATAACTTTCATTCCCAGGCTACTTTAAAATCATTTTAACATCCTCCTTCTAAGAATCAGGACCTGGAACAAACTTTGATTGAATTAAACCTAAAGCTGTTCAAATAAAACTCAAACAGATTTCATCAAGGAGGCTACATATCGGTCCCTTATACAGCAAGAATTAGGTCTTATTTTTCTTCAGTAACTGATGAATATAGTGGTGGACTCTATTTACAGCTATATCAATTTTAAATGTAGAAATAAATTTAAAATATAAACAAAGTCAAATCTGAAAAAATATATCAAACCCCAAACAAACAGAACAAATACCCCAAATCCAAACAAACAATTCTGTTTCCTTGGGTTCACTTGAAGGAAAAACTAGTTTTCAAATTGTGTCTGGGAAGGAATTCCAGAACAACACTCAATAAACACTGATCTGTGATAACTTCAGAGATCAAAAGCACTGGATTGAACTTCCAAGGACAGTTTAGACATAAAGAGGCCCAAGGAGGAAACATCAGCACCTCCGCTTTTTCCTGAGGTGTCTACACTGCCCTGCTGACTTGTTGACTCCAGCTGCTCTGGACTCTCAACATGGTGACAATCCCAGTGACTGTCCAGTGACCTTTTTGGCCTTCAGCACCAGAGCTGACCCCTGAAGCTCCCAAGCTTCTTGGAATGAGCAGCTGCCATGCATCTGGAGTATACAGACGGTCATGGTGGGACTGCCCAGTCCCACTGTGATGCCAATTTGATAAATTCCCTTTAGTGGTATGCGTATATGTCCTTATAGTTGTTTTTCTATAGAGAACCCTACTGGACTCATCGAGCAGTTCTTAGAGCACACCTTCAATACCTTCATGTCACAGATAATAATAAGCCAAAACAACAACAAACAAAGCTTCATCAGATATCATGCTGTTAGTGAAAGCAGGACCTGTGATTCAAACCTTCTAAATCTAAAATGTGCTCTCAGAGAGACATCATACTTCTATTACAATGAGAACAAAAATTTTCTAACTTCTTCAAGATCGAAAGGAACATTTAAAACCCATCTAAATTTATCCTGGTAAAATATGAGGCCATTTCCTTGTAAAGAATGGTCCAAATGTCTTTTTCAGGACTATTGCAAAGCTAGTGAAATGCCTAACAAAGTTAAGTATCTGGTATAGAGCTGAGGTGGGCAGGGTTTTCTCTGTAGTCAGAATCCCGGGAAGGAAACAGCAGAGCTATTGCAGATAATTTTCATTTTTTTTTTCTGAGTTTCAGAATATGGTGTGTTCTGGAATGGCTGCTTTGATTAGAGTTTATGAGTGCTGTGACTCTTGTAGCCAATTGCACCTTCTCTTTCCCAAGAAGCTGTAAAAGTGGGGCCCATGCTTGTCAGCCATGCAAGATGGCACGGAACATATTGCCATGATTGATCTTATCTCAGATTATTCTATTTGTGAAATACTCTTAGGAGACTTGCTTATTGGTATATGAAATTGTCTCTGAGTGTCCTAAAGTCCTTTAGGTGATAACATGAACTTTGTAAAAATATTCAGTTTTTTGAACTGCACTTCATATTTTTCTAAAATATGACAATATCTTGATAGTGTAAAAGGAAAATGCCACATGTGTGAAGTGTTTCACTCCTGAAGACATCCTGTAAATTTATGTAATAAAATTTTGTAATGAGTAATCAACAGGGTAATTGATCCAGATGGGGAGAAATCTCTCTGACAGACTGATTTACAAGGTCTACACTGTGAAAGGAGGCTGCATTGTATAATCTTCTTTCTCCATATAGTTACCAGACACCCATAAATATATTTTCTACATCTCAGTGGCCTCTCCTCTGCCTCCTCACTTAAATAATGCACTAGTGCATACAGCACAATCTGTTACGATGTGAAACAATATAATAACTATTTTGCCCCGAGAGGCAAGGCTGAGAGCAGCCAACCACACTCTAAAATAGGGGTATTCAAAGTTTTGGCTTCTCTGTGTGACATATAGTGGAAGGAGAAAAAAAATCCCACACATTGACCTCTGACCTCCATACATGTGTCATAGAGTATGTATATGTGTGGACACACACGTGTAAACAAAACACATGCAATAAAAAAGAACTGAGACTAAAATGTTTACAAATAATGAGAGAATAGGTAAGATAATTTTGAGTGACTTTACAATGTGATGCTGTCATCTACAAAGTTCACTTTTGAGAAATGTGAATTTATGTTCTCAAACTAAAATTGCAATAAGACTATTATAATGTTTTAGTGAGCTTATGATTTAGTGTTGGGATGCATATGCGGTTATCATTTGCTGCACGTGACCCATGACCTATGGGTTTAGCTCTAAGGCTATGTGCTGAAGGCAATCAGAATAAAGAAAAGGCAAGAAGGGTTAATCCCATGAAAATCTCAGTAAGGTGATTCTTTGGGTTCAGTAAGGAAACCATGTATTTAAATAGACAGTGTTATTAGCTGGCTGTTCTGGGAGCACAGCACCAGAGAATGCACTCTTATATTGAGAAATAAATTACATTTGAATGGACTGTGGCTACTTGAATCTCTCCACATTTATCTGTTAGTTCTTACCCATCCTTTAAAATTCAGTTGAGACCTATGAGCTGTAGAGAGCTTTCTTTAACTGCTGATAGTTGAGCCATACTTTTGGAAGTTTTGTGTAGTTTTTTTCGAACATTATATTCTTAGAGGTGTTGTTGTGTAATTATTTCCTCCAAATTGAAATGTTTCCCCAATATGGAGGAGAAAGTCAAGACTCAAGAAACTAAGGAAACTTACAAGGCTCAGAAAGCTCCTGAAATTTACAAGAGTCACAAGACCCACCTCCTAGGTTATATAAACAGTAATGATTACTAGGCATGAAGATTTTGCCTGACCTCCAAGCTACCTGAAAGTTGTGCAGAGTTCTTGAGAATATTTTTTTGTGAGTTACCACCTATGCTGAGGTTCATTTCTTGGAGACACAGCCTCCTTTAAATCACCAGTGCTCCTGTCAGATTTGGTTACTGACAGCAGATAGAATGTAAGGAAAAAAGTGATGTCAAAGATACTGCTGAAGATGCTTGTAATCCCAAATGCACCAAGGAATGGCAAAACTCTTAGCAAGCCTGGGAAAACAGGGCAATCAGTGGTCAAATCTGTTACGGAAAAAAACAATGTGAGCTTGCAATCACACAAAGACTTCTTAATAAAAAGTGACAATAAGCACTGAAAAGCTGTTGTCTGCACTTACTGGGACTGTCAACAGCACTTACTATGACTCTCTACATTCAGCATT